AACCGTACACGTTCCCTAACCCTAAGCCTAACCCTTACTCTAACCCATACCCTAATCCTAACCAATACACTAACCCTTACCCTAATATGTACCCTAACCCTAATCCTTTGCCGTACCCTAACCACCCTAAACCATACCCGTTCCCTAACCCTAAATCTAACCCTTACCCTAATGGGTGCCCTAATCCTAATCCATACACTAACACTAACCCATACCCTAACATGTACCCTAACCCTAACCAGTTGTCGTACACTAACGTGTACCCTAAACTGTACCCGTTCCCTAACCCTTACCATTACCCTAACTCGTACTCTAATCCTAACACATACACTAACACAAACCTGTACCCAAACACATACCCTAAACCTAACCCATTGTCATACCCTAATCTGTAGCATAAACCATACCCGTTTCCTAACACTAACCCTTAACCTAAACCTTATCCTAACTCGTATGCTAATCGTAACCCGTACACTAACACTAACCCGTACCCAAAACATTGTCATACCCCAACCTGTACCTTAAACCGTACCCATTCCCTATCCCTAGCCCTTACCCTAATCCGTACCCTAATCCTAACCCATACACTAATGCTGACCTGTTCCCTAAAGGGTACCCTAATCCTAACCTGTTGTCATACCCTAACCTGTCCCCTAAACAGTACCCGTTCCCCAACCCTAACCCTTACACTTAACCTTACCATTACCCGTACTGATATCCTAACCCGTACCCTAACATGTACCCTATCCCTAACCCGTTGTTGTACCCTAACCTGTACCCTAAACCGTACACGTTCTGTAACCCTAACCCTAAAGCTTACCCTAACCCGTACCCTAACACGTTGTCATACCACAACCTGTAACCTAAACCGTACCCGTTCCGTAACCCTAACCCTTAACCTAACCTGTACCCTAATCCTAAGCCGTACACTAACACTAACCCGTACCCTAACACATACCCTAAACCTAATCCATTGTCATACCCTAACCTCTACCCTAAACCGTACACATTCCCTAACCCTAACCAAAACCCTTACCCTAACCCTTAACCTAACCCGTACACTAACACTAAGCCATACCTTAACACATATCCTAACCCGTTTTTGTACCCTAAACTGTACCCGTTCCCTAACACTAAACCTAACCCTTACCTTAACCCTTACTCTAACCAGTACCCTAATCCGAACCCGTACACTAAAACAAACCTGTACCCTAACACGTACCCTAACCCATTGTCATACCCTAACCTGTACCCTAAACCGTACCCGTTCCGTAACCCTTACCCTAAACCTTACCCCCCACCCCCCGCCAAGCATTCCTTTCAAGAGACATGGCTGAACCCTTCTAGAGCCCTCTTGCTCATCCCTGGTGACTCTAACTCCAATGTCAAACATTAATACAGGTTTTATTGCCAAATGTCTCTTGCATTGTTTAGCGGAAAAAATTCTACCATGAATTTCCTTTTTCCTCAAACATAGTTAAGTAAATTAACAATATTAATAGCAATCTTTTTTTAAATTTTTGGCTGAGTTGGGTTTTCATTGCTGTGTGTGGGCTTTCTCTAGTTGCGGCGAGCGGGAGTTACTCTTTGTTGTGGTGTGTGGCTTCTCATTGCAGTGGCTTCTCTTGTGGAGCACGGGCTCTAGAGCACAGGCACAGGAGTTGCGGCGCATGGGCTGGGACCTTCCCAGACCAGGGATCCAACCCATGTCCCCTGCATTGGCAGGCGGATTCTTAACCATTGAGCCACCAGAGAAGTCCCACGAACAATCATTGAAAATACTAATTTCAAAAAGATCACGAAACCCCTAAAGAACTTATTAATTTAAAAACAGCATTGGCAGGCGGATTCTTAACCATTGAGCCACCAGAGAAGTCCCACGAACAATCATTGAAAATACTAATTTCAAAAAGATCACGAAACCCCTAAAGAACTTATTAATTTAAAAACAGTTATAGGGACTTCCCTGGTGGCGCAGTGGTTAAGAATCCACCTGCCAACGCAGGGGACATGGGTTCAAGCCCTGGCCTGGGTAGATCCCACATGCTGCAGAGCAACTAAGCCCATGCGCCACAACTACTGAGCCTGTGCTCCGCAACAAGAGAAGCCACCGCAATGAGAAGCCTGCGCACCGCAACAAAGAGTATCCCCCGCTTGCCACAACTAGGCCTGGGCACAACAGTGAAGACTCAGTAAAAATAAAAACAGTTATATGCTCAGTGAAAAAGAATTCAAAAAAAATGTTTTATAATATAAGATAAGAAGTCCAAACTCTTTTCTGGGGGAGCCACTGTTAGAAGTTTGGAATATATGACTCTAGAATCTTTCAGTACTCAAATTTATGTTTATGCACGTGCAAAAAATTATTCAAAGTAATTTAAAAGAAACAAAAGAACCCAAGAAAATAAAAATAGGTACAATTTCCACCTTGCTAAAACTTGTAGACAGTTTTAAGTGACCATGTACCCAAGTGGTGAACACAACTTTGAAAGGGCAGGCAGAGCAAATGCACTGTGAGGACCATATATTTCACTGAGAGTATTGAAAAGTTTGCTCTGTGTCATAATAAATGTTGGAATTACAGTGGAGAATGATAAGTATTGTACATGTTTGTAATGGGTAATTTCCTGATAAAAATCAGTTCTTAAAAATACCATGTTACTTGCACTTAGGAATAAATCCATTATGAGACAGAACAGTTATATGATTAAAATAAAAAGTCAAAGCCACAGTGAGATACCACTTCACATCCATTAGGGTGGCTACTATCAAGAAAAACAGAAAATAACAAGTGCTGGAGAGGATATGGAGAAATTGGAAACCTTATGCATTGCTAGTGGGAATGTAAAATGGTACAGCCCCTGTGGAAGACAATAAGGCAGTTCCTCAAAAAGTTAAATAAAGAATTACCACATGTTTCAGCAATTCTACTTCTAGGTATGCGCTACCCAAAAGAATTGAAAGCAGGAACTCAAATGGGTATTTGTACACCAATGTTCACAACAGGCAAAAGGTGGCAACAACTCAAATATCTGCCAGTAGATGAGAAGATAAACAAAAGGTGGTATATACGTACAATGGAGTATAATTCAACCTTAAAAGGGAATGACACTGTAACATGGATGAACCTTGAAAACATTATGCTAAGTAAGTGAAACAAGCCAGATACAAAAGGATAATTATATGATTCCACTTGTATGAGGTACCTAGAATAGGCAAAGTCATAGAGAAAAAAAAGTAAGATAAAGGTTAGTAGTAGGGATTGGGGGGGGAATGGGGAATTATTGTTTAATGGGTACAGAGTTTCAGTTTGGGATGATGGAAAGTTCTGGAGATAGATAACAGTGGCAGTTGGACCACACTGTAAATGTACTTAATGCCACTGCTCTGTACACTTAAAAGTGATTTAAATGGTGAATTTTGTGATGTATATTTCACTACAATTAAAAAATATATAAGAAGCAAGCTTTTGTGTTAGACTTTATGGAATTCTTGATTCTCTGCACTCATGAGGCACCTTCACTTTACTGCCCAGATTTGTAATTTCGGCTAAAGAGCAATATCTGTTGATGAGAATAGCAAAGCAAAGCAAAATGGGTAAGGACTACCATGTTTGTTTAAATTTACTTTGATTTCAATGGTGTTATTCCTGCCAGGAAAAATACAGGATAAGCAATAAAACATTATTTTGGATTTGAAAAAGCTGGGGGGTGAAAAAAAGAAAATCCAAGGCAGTAGTTAAAGAGGCACACTGAAAAATCATAAAATAATTATAAGGTGGATCTTGACATATACATATAGAAAAGGCAAAGCATCTATTTTACTTAAAAGAAAAACTTACGTCCATGATGGTTACAGGGATGTCCCGAATTTTATGAGGTTCCACATAAGAATTTTGACAATTCAGGGTAAGTCTTGAAGCCAGTTCACTCTGCCCCAAACTTTCCAGCTGCAGAAAGAAACAAACAAAGGTGAGTTTCTTAAAAATTAATTTTGTTTTTTACATTTACATTAAATCCACAGATAGTATCTGTGCTTAGAAAGGTGGTATTATGTGTGGAGGGGCCAGTATGGTCACCACTGAGGAAACACAGTGTATTTGAGACCATAACTTGGCCTTGCAGGTGGTGACATTTTTCTATTCTGGGCACCTGGCCTTCCACAGCCCTCAACCTGAGCCGACTCTTCCACCAGGTGCCTGTGGGTGCCAAGCCAATTCCAGCAGCTCCAAGAGGACAGGTAGACATTTAAGTAGAGGCCTCCGAAGATAAATGTCTATCCCAGTAGTTCCTAAATGCAAGTCCACAGACCTGCTCCATCACACTTACCTGGGGAGGTGGAAGAGGAGGGGTGAGGTAAAAACACAGATTCCCAGCGCCCTCAGCCAGGGATTCTAGTTCAATGGTCTGGGGTGAGGCCTTAGAATCTGTATTTTTAAAAGCTCCCCCAAGTGATTCTGATGAATTACTTAGCAGCAGGA